AACACTTGACTGTTAAGTTACACACACACACACACACACACACACACACACACACACAAGCGGCGCCACAGGTGAAACCAACTTTCCCTAAATAGGAGAGTTTAGTGAGCTGGGACACCAATAAACTGTCAGGAACAAGTGGCTTCTTAGGGTGGACGTGTCCCCGAATGGGGGCTCTGACCAGAGTGGGGGTGGGTGGGTCCTGGAATGTGAGGGGCGGACAATGGGCACTGTGGGGTCAGATCCCCGAGACTTGGCTCAGGTCGCTCCCGGAGTGGCGAGGACTCGGGGTGCTTGATAAGACTGTCGCCAAGTCCCACGCACCTGGGAGTGAGGCCCGCGGGGCGGCCAGGCCCGCTAAGGCCAGGGGCCAGCGCGCGGTAGGGCGACCAACCTGCCCCCCACTTCCCAGCACCCTTGGCCGCTCACCTGTCGCGGGGTCGCCTAACCTCCGCGCCGGCGACGCTCCACCTCGTCTCCTCCGCCTGCGGGAGAGAGCGGCCAGGCTCGCCGGCTGCCTCCGCGCCGCAACGGCCCCTACCGCCCGGAGGCTGAGTCGCAGGGAGGCGGGGGTGGTGGGGACGCCGCTCCACCCAGTACCTCTCTGGACCTCGTGTCCGTCCGGACGGGTTGGCATGATGTTGGTTTCCTGGGATACACGTTATATTAAAACAAACCGAATAGCTACAGTAGCAGGTGTCCAGATCTTGGCATGAGTTTATGGAAAGCTTTGGCAAATGCATTTTGAATTTAAAAGTTATTCTCTCAAGCCAAATTAACTTTATATTTGAGTTTTCATTTTTTAAAGTTCATTGTTTGCAAAAGGCGGGTTTGGGGGGGGGGTGTATTACTTTTTTACCTTTAATTTTCAGCTTCTCAGGTTCAAATAACCTTCCAGTTTCGTGTGTGTGTTTTCTGTATAAATAAAAGGAAACATCACCTAGAAATATATGTTTATTTAATGGAAGGCAAAAGTATTTTGATTTGGGAAAGAAGGCTTATAGCTGGTCTCCTCCTACTCCCGTTTTAGGGGCACAGTCACTCATGTACAGTTAATATTCTGCCATTCTATTAAGTGCCTTGAGATGCCAAGATGCAAGCTATGTATGTAGCTATGGTTGTGACAAGAATGGACCCCTTGGTAGGTCCAGTGCCCATCCGGCACGTTACATAATCTTTACAACAGTGTTGATTCTATTCCCCATTCTGTATTTCATATCCCCGTGACTATACTGTGTCTACTAATTTGCTGTTTCTGATCCCTTCACCTTCTCCCCCACCCATTTAACAACAAAGAGGGGGTTTTTTTTTAGAAACAGAAAAAACACCATAATGAGATACCACCTCAAAAAAAAAAGGGGGGGATATGGATCCAGGTTTACACATATTTTCCTGATGTTGAAGTTTGCTGGGATACAAGTTATGTTAAAACAAACAAAATAGTTACACTAGTAGGTGCCCAGATCTTGGCATGGATTTAATGTAATGCTTTAGCAAATGGATTTTGAATTTAAAAGTTGTTCTCTCAAGCCAAATTAACTTTATATTTGATTTGAGTTTTCATTTTTTGAAGTTGTCAATACTTATCTGGTATTAGTAGGCAACCTTCTGACAAAATAAGTTAAACTTTAATTTAAAAGCTATTTGTGACATGAGACAGTGTTCAGCACCACTAATCATCAGGAAATGCATATCAAAATGCACAATGAGATAGCACCTCATGCCTGGTAGAATGGCCATTATAAAAAAGACAGGGCCTTTTGCAAAGCCAAAGTGTTGAATTTTGATGAAGTCCAAATTATGCATTTTTTTCTATTTTCTTGGCTTATGCTTTTGGTATCATTTCTAAGAATATTTGCCTATCCCTAGTTTGTGAGGAGTTTCTTCTATGTTCTCTTCTAAAAATTATAGTAATGTGTTTTACATTTATTTCAATGATCTGGGAGGAGAGGTGGCGTCTGGATGGGGCCAGGAGCTAAGGCTTTGTAGGGCTCCGTCACACCCTGAGTCCAGCCAGAAAAGACTGATTCAAACATTGGTTAAGGGCAATTGGGTAAAAGGGGTTGAATACATGGTAACGAAAGGAAACTAGATTCTGGGTGGTGAGCACGCGGTGGTATCCAGATATGGAATTATAATGTTGTACACCCGAAATTTCTATGTCATCAATGTTATCTCAATAAAGTTAATTTTAAAAAGTGGTTAAAATCAAGAGACAATGCTTATATTTTCATTTTAAAAATGTTGAAAACTCGTTTGAGATATAGAAATGGTGTTAAAATATGACCTTTCCTGCACCCTTCAGATAATCTGTACCCAGGGAGCATTTTTCCTCAGTCCTTTCCTGTATTAGTTAGAGGATGGAGGCATCACCTATGGTACCAGAATAAGCAGCGGCACGTTACGGCCCAGAGCCCTTCAACCTTTTCTTACCCAAATGTGAAACCTCAGAAGCACTTGATATTACAAATGTCAGTCATTATTAAGCAATATTTATTGTGTTTTTGGAATTGTTCTAGATGGTGGAAATCTCCTACAAGCTCCTGGTGTAACTGAGAATTGCTGTTAGGAGGAGACAGGTACTTCCTTCTCCATGTAGGCATCTTATATTCACAAATTGTACTGAAAAGCAATTGTTCTGAGAAGTGGAGGCAAGTGCTTCCCATGTGTGCTTTGCTGCCCAGCACAAAAGGTAATTTGTTTGTTTGTTTGTTTGTTTGTTTGTTTTTCAAGTCTATGCATATTTCTCTCATTTCAGGTGCCACTTATTTGACAGGAAATCTCACAACTCATGGTCAGTGTTGTTTTTAATAAACAAAGACAATGACAGCTACCATTTATTGAGCCGTTATTATTTCATTTAAGAACATTATAAAAACCCTGAAGTAAGGAGTGCCTTTCTCATTTTACAGACAAGAAAATGGAGGCTAAGAGGACTTCAGCATCTTGAGCAGGGCCACAAAATTAAGTAAGAAATAGGTCCAGGATTCCAACTCTGGCCTGTCTGAACTCAGAGTCTATTGGATCTCTACTGTTTAAAAAAAAATTTTTTTGAAATAGAATTGACACCAAATTCTGATAACTCCCTTGGACCTTGCTTTGCCATGCTAAACACTTCCAGCCGTTCCAATTCTTTTTCATATGATATGTTCAGAGACACCCTCTCTACCATGATCAGTGTCTTCTAGATCCACATGAGCTTGTCAAAGGTCCAGCTGAGGCCAGAACAAAACACAGTGCTCCAACAGTGTCTCAGCTGAGCAGGAAAGACTCCTGACCTCCCTTGGAAGAGACATCATGCTGTAAAACTATAAAGGCTAACTTCTGAGCACAGTGCTGTGGGGCTGATGGCTCCCAGTGCATAGCAGTGCTAATACCTCCATCACTGCAGCCAGCTAAGATGTTAACCCATAGTCACATTCTCATATGGCATCTGCATTCAACACAACTCTGTGGTCCTTCGTGACAGAGCGATCACCTAGACAGGTCTTCCTGCAGCCCTCACCCTTGTGCAGTTTATCCAGGGGGACACCATGGACATTTGGAGGCTCTGGCTTATACTGTCTCAGTCTGCTCTGGGCTCTGCTTCTTGCTGGCATTCTACAGGGACACATTCTCACACTGAAGAGAAAGCTATCAAAGTCCACATCCTAAAGGAACACAGGAGAACAAGGTTTATAATACTTGTTCCATTCTTTTTCCAGTTCTGTCTTCTTCTTTCTCCCCATCCCTAGCTTTCTGACTTCAAGATGATGCTATTTCTACTACAGTATAGTAGTAGTCTTTTTGCAGTCTTTGTTTATTAAAAAACAACAAGATGGAAGTGGAAGAGCTAAATCTTTGTCAAAAGCATAGAAAGAGTCATACATGTAATTGAGAAAGAGTCATACATGTAATTGAGAAAGTGTCAGGTTGAGCAGGGACACTTTGTTCACAATGCACCCATGTTGCTGCCTCTCGTTCCACAAAGATCCAAACCACATTCCACCTCTTCTATAGAGCCTCTCCTGATTGCCCCTGTACCTGGCAATTTCTCTCTCCCCTCGTTTCTGTGCAAGGTGCTGCAAGATCCTGGAGGACTGGGACCTTTGTCTAGAAAATTATGACTCCCCCAACATTGGGTCATTAATGCTAACTTTGTTTGGGTTCTTGCCAACATTAGAGGAAAGCTGGGATCCTTGGGGATTCAGGAAGGCCACCCTGAAGGTCGCCTTAGCAACAAACTATCTCAGTCCCACTGTTCCTGCAGAAAGTGTCTCAGTACAAACAGGTAATGTTTTAAGACCATGGATGAAGTTTGCTAAGTGCTAATTATAAACAAAGGAGTGGAAATTCGAAGGGCTGATCAATTGCAGAGACAAGGCTTTGGGATTTTATCATGATAGTAACCTTTTGGAAACTGTGCCATCATTCTGGGATCCTGGCATCTCTATAAATAAACCAAACCAAACAAGGTTTGCTTTACTGGGTATGCAGAAGGGTGACCCAGCAATATAACTAATAATGTAAGTTGATGATTTTTCAAAATAAACGGCATTCTTCTTTGAATTTTGGATTGCATATATGAATACCTGGAATAATTGTAAAGGTCATGAATGTTAAGGGAAGTATGAGAGAACCCACACTGATATTCACGTGCTCTTCAGAGGTGACTATCACAGTGCTGAGGATGGAGCTCTGAGACTTGGGTTCAGCCCCAGTTCTATTCTACACTTCCTGTACTGGCTCTGGGACCTGAGGCAGGCCACTCCCTGTGGTTCTGTTTCCTTGTCTTTAAAATGAAGGCATTAAATTTCATGACATCTAATATGATTTCCAAATGTAAAATTCTGTTTCTAAGCTATTCATATTCCAAGAGAGGCAGGATTTCATTTTCATTTCTACGCGTCTTTAATTTTAGCCAAATTCACACCTAGACATGGTTCCATAAAAAGATAAAGTACTTCCTCTCTCTCTCTCTCTCTCTCTCTCTCTCTCTCTCTCTCTCTCTCTCTGTTCTATACATAGAAAATGTCTGTTATCAATGCTGCTTAGGTTTTGGAAAGTGATTTTTACGATGCCTTTTTACTTTCTGGGTTTCTAAGAATAGGACATAGTGAAGTTGAAATAAGCTAATCAAAGCTGACTTAAATTGTTCTTTGGCCTATTGTTTTTTTTGTAGACGGGCTTTGATTAATAACCTTGGAAAATCATTTAAAGAGATGAAACGCTCTCATTGTTCCAGCTTCTTTGTGCAGATGACAAGGTTTTCTAAAAAGGGATGTTCAATGAACTGTGTGTACGTGAGTGGCTTTGAATTCGGCTTCCCAGTTTCAGTTCTCTTATAACATATATTTTAAACAGCAGACACACAAGAATTTTCATCTAAGTTATGAGCCAAAACAAATGATCGGGTTACACCTGTTTCGCTTATACTACCTTGGAAACCACTAGACTCCATTTCCCTGAGTGTAAAGAACTAGTTCCGTCTCAGGGAAACAATATAATCAACTTATGGTTTTTTTAATGGAATGTGCAACTGCCCAGATCTCTTCTTAATCTCAACATATTTGTCAAGAGG